CTTCGGGTTGCAAACAAATCGGGTTGCGACCAGAGTCACGGAACGGATTAAATTCGTAACCTGAGGTACTACTGTACTTTGTTTGAATAGGGTGAATACATATACACAAAATGCATTATTTCAAATGTACGAAGATATGTTTCTTTATATCAAATAAAGAAAAAGAAAAGCAGATGGAAGAGTGGCAGCAGACATAAGATCATCAATAATGCTTATATATAAATGAACCCAATGGATTTGATAGAATATAGCTTAACTGTTAAATGTAACAAAGCTTGAAAAAGTATGAGAAAATAAGATTCTCTTTTGAATCAAAAAGAAAAATAGCATATTTTACAGCAATGCAGCACTTACTCTGTCATGAAGTGTCCAACCAACATATTTTAAATAACTATCATTCAGGAAGGCATCACTGTACATTTTCATCCACACTCCAATTTCTTCAATACAAACAGCTCTAATCTCAGCAATAGCATCACTATAAAAAACAATGGTGAAATTTTCTTAGCATTTTACTCCTTTAAATGATACTGCCATTTGTCCTTTGTTGTCCCTAATGCTAATCAGTGAGGATGGTTTGAAATCAGAATTATTTCATATAGGTGATTTAGAACATACAGGAATGCAGAATTTACAGTTCTATAAGGCACCTGCATCCTTTCCCTGAATGCACAGTAGGCAGTCCATAAGTCCCATGTGAGGCCCAATTTTTATTTTTTCAAAGTCCATATTTTCCATGAAGTTTTTAGAATAACTCAGTCTCCATAGCCTGCAGTTGCAGGAGTTCAAGATATGTACACAGCACTCCCTGCTCAAATTTTCTCCACAACAGCACCTCTGTGAAGTGGGTTGGGCTAAAAGGAAATGATTGGCCCAAAGCCACTCATGAGGTTTCCATGGCAATAGGTGGATTTGAAGCTGGGTCTTACTAGCCATAACCCAACAATTTAAACATTTTACTACACAGATTCTCATAATATGTCAATTCTTGGAGGTTTTATTCCATCTATTTCTTAAATTTTAAGCAGGCCAGTGAAAAAATATTGTTTTTGACCATTATCTAGGTCTCACAATGTCTTTTTCCTCACTTACCGATATCTATGGACAAATATTCCCTTGAAAATGGAATTCATCATATTTTCAATTTCATCCTGATTTTCTTGCAACTGAAATACAATTAAATATGACTACTTTTATTTAATTCTTTTATTTAAACACATATAGTATATAAGACACCACCCTGGGGCATGTCAACGCAGTTATCATTACTCATAATCAAGACTAACAATAAACATGAAATACTTCCTAATATTCATCACCTAAATATCACAGCTATAGTCTCTTTTTTAATGGCTGCTATAACAGCTGTAGCCCTAATTATATATAACTCAGTAATTTTAAAAAAACCCTTTTTTAAAAAATAATTTTATTGAAATTTTTAATAACAACATTAAAAGAAAATACAAGCTGAACTCAGGAAGAAGAGAGAGTAAGGAAAAAATAATAATAAAAGTTGTACAGAAAGAAAAAGGAAAAAAGTAAAGAAAAAAAATATTTTAAAAAGTAACTTCCAATCTTCATCACAACAAGCACAAACAAACTTAATAATTCATCAGCCCCTGTAAAGCTATATGCAAGTATCTCTTCCTCCCATAACCCATCTCTTATCCAACACAAATCCATAAATCATTAACATTTCAGTATTGGTATCAGCAAAAAGTCCAGAAAGGGGTGCCAGATTTATACATACATGTCTTATTTTATCCTTGATCAAACAAACCAACTTGTACTCCTTCATTTTGCTTCTAACAACCTTAATCTTTAGTTGATTCAGATGCTATCATAGGATTTAATCTCTCTTCTAATTTTTTCTTTTTCCCACCTTGAAGGTTTCTTCAA